GCCGGCGGCCCCGGCTCGGCCCTCGCCCCCTCTGCTGCGTTGAAGCCCTGCGGGGCCTCCCCGCGGGGCAGCCGGAGCCCGCGGGTCGGGGCGCGTGGGCTGGCGATGCCAACGCGAGCGGCCGCGTTGGGTGTTCCCGGCGTTGCAGGCCTGTTGGTCGCGGCCCGGGCTCCGCAGCGGAGCTCCAAGAGGCTCCCGCGACCCCCGGCCGCGTCCTGGAGACGGCAGCGTTTGCCAGGGGCCACATCTAACCTCCGTGTCTCTCCTAGCCTGCGTATCAGAACTTGAGGCAGCGGGTTGACAACTTTGTCTCCAACCACTTGGCCACTCATACCTGGAGTCCGCATCTCAACAAGAACCAGCTGAGAAATAACATTAGGCAGCAGGTTCTCAAGTAAGTGAAATGTTTGGAGGTTCTCCGTTTGAACGCGCTCACGCACTCTTCTTGATGACCGAAACCCTGGGTTGTTTGTAAAGCCCTGGGTTGCTTTAAACCTGTTTCTAAAGAAGCATTTCTCTCTTAATGCTTAAAAGGTGCTACTATTTCAGATAGCAGCTTTTCACCAGCATTAGTCCAGCTATTATCTGACCTGAGTTGTTGCAGGGATGGAAAGCTTTTATCTGACTCAGGAGGCAACATCCTAACTAGAGAATTTGTTTTTACACTTACTCTTTTATTTCCTTTTAATAAGCAATAGTAACAAGAGTTAATGTAATCTTTACCGCAGTGTAGCGGACAACTGGATAAAGCCATAGATAAAAAGCTCTCTAGCATGATTTATTTGATTTTTTTTTTTATTGAAAGATTAAGCGAGTTTGTATAAAGTAGCGAAACTCTGAGCTGTTAAACAGTATTGGGAAGAAGTAATAGTAGTGATGACTGGTGTAGTATGCATCTGTGCCTCATGCTTCCTATAATTAATTCCCTTGGAACAAAACACATTAATAAGTTTGTGTTTCTTCTTAAGTTCTTCCATGGTGGTCACTTTTACAATTAATTAACTTTTTTTAGGCGTAGCCAACATTGACATAACAACAGGCTGTTCATTTTTTTTTTTAATTCTGTGTGTTTGAATCACTTTGTTTCTTTACCACAAGTTTTTTTTGGGGGGGAAAGAAATGTTTTACATTCATAAGACATTGTGAGAGCTATTGAAATGTGCTCAGGAAACATTAGTGCTTTGCTGCGAGATCTTGAACGTGTTTGCTTCACACCTAAATGAGCATATGTCATTAAGATGCTCTTGAAAAGACATTTCCTTATTAAGTATTAATGTAACTTTGTTCCAGGTCTGGAATGTTGGAATCTGGAATTGACAGAATTATTTCTCAGGTTGTGGACCCAAAGATCAACCACACATTCAGACCTCAGGTGGAGAAAGCTGTCCATGAATTTTTAGCTACCTTGAATCACAAAGAGGAGGCAGGCCCCAGTACAGCTCCAAGTGAGGAGAAAGCAGATGCTTCTATTACAGTACAAGGTATTCTACCATTACTCTAAGCAGTCTATTACCAGAATTTTGTTTTACTCGAGAGAGGAAGCATTCACTAAGTTTACTGCTAACACAAAATGCTTTTAGTATCAGTATTAATAAGCTGAGCTCCAGGCAGCCTCCCATAATGTTTATGTCTTGCTGTGTATGTAAACATTGAAGGCATGAAAGCTGTCACCATGCACCAAACTTTGTTTCTTCTGCCTGAGGTTACAAGAAATTGGCTTACCATAGAAAAACTGATCTCAGGATTTAGCCCTGTTAGTATTATAGAGTCGGATTACACAGAGCTATAAGATTTTTTTAAATAATTCCTAGATCAAAAGAAGCCATCAACAAGGCATTAACTGTCCTATTGCAGTTACTGTGTGCAGTAAAATTTGAAAGACTTCTCTCACGAGCTTAAGTTTATTCTAAATCAGCCGATTTCTAACTTATTTATGAATAATGTAGCCACTTGCTTTATGATTTTTGTCTATGTTGCTAAACAGGATATATGTTTCTAAACACTCCTGCAGGTAACTGTCTGCTCTTTCCTTCCAAGGAGGCTCCAGAGCAGTCTGTCTAGCTGTAACCAGACCCTTTATTTAAATGCTAAGTCTTTTCCTGTAAGGCCCACTTCCTTTGAAGTAAGTGGGTTAACAAGCCAGCTACAATTGTTAGTGCTTGTCCAGTTAACTATTTCTCATCCATCTTCAAAGTTCCTTCTAAGAGAATGGGAAAGTAATACAGGATTTCTGGTAGTTCCATTGTCTTTATGAAATCTGAAAATAAAATGTTCTGAGTCCACTTTCTAGAACATCTTTTACAGACAGCCTCTACTAATGATTCTCAGGTAACCAGAGCTGAATCATTTTAGAAGTGCAGCTTCTTTTTTTTCCCTTTTGTAGTCCAGAGTCTCTGTATAGTGAGATTCAAACCTCTAGGTTAGCTTATTTTATACAGAGAGTAGTGTTTTTGTTTCACTAGATGCATGTGCTCTCTGAAATGCTGCTTCCTTTCAAATGTAACCTCTATAGAACTAAATATTTCCTTCGAGGAAAGTTATAACTTTGAGCCAAAACTATCTTCTCTTATTCTTTAAGGTGTCTCTACTACCGCTCCTAGTGGCAATGTAGCTAGTGATGCGATGTCCATTTTGGAAACAATAACTTCTCTTAACCAAGAAGCAAGTGCTGCCAGGGCTTCAACAGAGAGTTTAAATTCCAAGACTAATGACAAAGTTGCAAAAAGACTCTTGTCTCAGCACAGTGTTGATGGTAGCACTGAGAGAGACCGAAGTGCAGAGGACTTGCCAGACAGAGAGAGAGCAATTTGTGATCCTTCTGGAGAAGGAGCTGAAGCGTTTGAAAAGTGTGAAGATTTAAATGAGCTTCCCTGTCAAAGTGAAGAAATAAAAAATGCAGCAAAAGATTCTAATAGTGTAACTTCTACAAGTAAGGAAATTCAACAGGAAAATGAAGATCAAAAGAATAAATTGGTTGATAAATGTGACAGGAAGCCAGACAGTATTGAGAAAGGAGAAAGAAGAAAAGAAAAGAAAGAAAAACTTGAGAAGAAGTCTGACTATTCAAAGAAAAGTGATGATACTACAAAGCCAAAAGAGGAGAAGCAAGAGAGAGAGTCACTGAAACAGTTAGTTCCAGAAAAAAATAGCAATAAACATAAATCAGCTGAAAGCACAAAAGAAGGTATGATGCGGGAGAATATTTTTGCTTAAGATTTAGCTTTTATTTTTTGAACAGTGTATTTGGGAGGTGCACTGGAAGTATATTTGGAACAAGTAGCTGCGCTGATCTTGCTAAATTTCTCTAGCTGTAAAACGGGTTGTAGTTTGTCATACTTAACTGAGGAACTAGCATCGGGTATCTGATCTTCCTTGATCGTTCAAGTACGTATTGATTGAGAAAGCTCACCAGAGTGAGGCAGGTGACCAAGGAGGCTAGTTTATATACACTGAGTTGTACCTCAGTGGGATTTTTGTTTTGAGTAAAGAGTCAGTCTTAAAGTATTTCTGTACAAAGTTATAACTTTTTTCCCCTTCCTTCTCATCCTTAAGACAACAGTATGTTTTCAGTGGCAAAATAACTGTTTTGGTAAGAAAAGTGTTGCAACTATAGTATACTGCATTATAACTTCTTTCTTTTATTATTTTTTTTTTCCTTTGCAAGACCATACTTTGATAGATTCAGATATGGATGTACTCAGTGACATCACTGTCAGCTCTGTCCATACCAGTGACCTTTCTTCCTTTGAAGAGGAGAGTGATGAGGAAGATGCAGTTTCTGAGAGTACTGAAGAAGGAGAGATCACATCAGATGGTAAAATAAACAGATTGCTAAATCTGATAGTAAAATAACACTAAAGAATGGCAACAGGTTTTGGCTTTTGAGTTTTTTGCCCTCTGTTCTCCTTTAATTTGGTTAACATCAGCTGCTTTGTCTGGTGCCTTACGATAGTATGTAAAGATCATTTGGCGGATCAGGCTGTTATTAGAGATTTTTGATTTCAGGGACTTCCAAATTCTATGTGGCCACAGTGGGGAAAAGAACATGAATGAATTTTGAAGCACCGAACCTGTTTGCCAGGCACTTGTCTCCTTGTGTTTTCTTGGTCTGGAGCAAACTTTGAACTCTATAGCTTTTATAAATGCTTGACTTTTGTAATTAGGACAACTTCCATCTCATAAGATAGACTGTGTTAGAGGCTGTATGAATTGTCTCTAGTATGCTGTGAGCTTATCTTTTCATCTGTAAGAATATTATTTGAAAGCATTGAATTGCTTGCATATTCAAGGACTTTTCAATATTCAATATCTGGCTTTGACAGACAACGTTTTGACTTTGACCTGTAAATATTACAGTTTGCATTCAGGTATAACAACAAAACATGTACCTTTTAGGGATGCAGATTTATTGTATGGCATGGACCATAAATATTTTGCTTCTTTCATAATACTGATAAAATGAAATGTTTACTTGAATAGTACTTATGAGTATGAACCAAAATATTCTGTTTCTATATTTCAGTAAACTTATTTAATTTTTAAGTTACGATCTTTTGATATGTATAGCAGAAGTGTTATTTTGACTTCTTGTGGAGTATTAGCTTGATAACTGGCCTGATACGTATAAATCATGTTGACTTTATATATTTTAAGAGAGTAAGCACCCCGGTTCTACCCAAGTTTGTTCTGCTTTTTTTAATGTGCAACTTTTTGCTCAATAATGTGCACAAATGGATAAATAATCCCTTTTAGACTTTGATAATCAGTGATATTTTGGTGCATTATTGGTATAAAGTTAGCATTTGGCATGTTAAAAATTCTGCCATAATTTATCAACATCTCTCTACACTTTACTACTATTTTTTTTTCTCTTCAGATGAAGAGGAGAAAATAAGTCAGAGCAAGACAAAGCCTCAGGCCAGCGAGCTGGGTGATGGGAGAGCGAAGCCCGTCCGACACGCGTATGTTCGCAAGCCGTTCTTGTACTCCAAGTACTTCAGTGACTCCGACGATGAGCGAACTGTAGAGCAACGGCGTCAGTCCATTGTACGTCTGGGTATTGTGACAGTCCTAGAATTTTAACAGCTGAAACCACCACCACCAATTAAAAAAATGGATTTTTTGTACTGAAAAAATTAAGTGGGATGATTTGCAGGATTTTGAGGGTGTTTTTCGTTTTTGTGTTACAGCTGCCCCTTCTTTCCACTTTGACCAGTATTATATGATTTGAAGCACTGTGCTCCAAAGTACTCTGCTGGGTGTAGTTTGAACACTTTTAATTATCAAAGCCATGATGCACTCCGCTCCCTTCCGCCAGTCTTTTTCTCTCTTTAAAATAAACACTCGTGTTCACAGAGGATTTGCTAAGTATGTGAAGTGTCTTTGCAGAGTCACAGTAGTGGATGAATTCATTGTCAGTTGAGTCATTGATGTGGAGATTGAGAATTACTGTGTTCAGGAGACTTGGTGACTACATTTACTAGCAGTTTGCATGGAAAAAGTAGCTCTCTATCTATTCCTTTTTTTTTTTTTTTTTTTTTTTTTTTTTTTTTTTTTTTGGTGTGGTTCTTGTAGAGCAGGCTTGAACTGGCTGCAGGCTGCTTCCTTACACTGTCCTTACAAATGCATTTCTTCTGCCCAACTGCCCAAGAACCCAGTGGTCTGTACCACATCTGCTGAGAGTGAGAATGGTTAGAGGTTTAAGCACATTCACTGTGCTGCATACAAGAAGGATCAACAGTTCTTTTAGATGTTTCTCCTTTGACTAAATACGTGCTATTCGGATAGCCTAGTTTTCCCCGCTTTATTTGCCTCAGTAACAGCGGATACAACAGGGTCTGTGTTTTACTTAACACAATTTAGTATGATGAAATTTGAAGATGGAGAAAAAAAGCAATTGTAAAAATAATTGGAAAGGTAAGTATGTCTAGAAGAAAAACGTTGTGAGCAAGTGAGACTTGAAAACTACTGTGCAGTCAGATTGTGAGCCCCATATCTTGGATATATACTTCAGGAAAGCCTCATAGCCTTCCTTTCTCTGCAATGTCAAGCAGCAGTGAATCTTTATGGGGCATAGCATAATTTCACTTCACAGAAATGTTAGAGGATTCATTTAACTCTCTAATAACTATTTATTACTTTTTGCCTCCAGATAAAACATCATGATTTCTGCAGGATTTAAAAGTATACCTATAGAGTCAAAGAATACTTCTTGTTTGGCCAATAGTGAAAATAGGCTTTTCCTTGTTTTGTATCTTCAGGCCAAAGAAAAAGAAGAGAGACTACTAAGAAGACAAATTAACAGGGAGAGACTTGAAGAAAAGCGTAAACAGAAAGCTGCAGAAAAAACGAAGTCGCTGAAAACTGGAAGTCAAAATGCTAAAGGTATTGGATATATAGTATAGAGCTTTGGGGTTTTGCTTTTGCTCTTTTAAGAGAGAAAAATAACTTCCAAGATTAAATATTGGTACCCTGAAGTTTTGTTAGAACGCAGCAGAAAAATGGACTAAGCAAACTGTTTACTTATGAAAATATTTTTACTCTTTCCTATATCCTATGATACTATTGCTGAAATTAGTACTCTGCATCCCACTAACAATTTGCATTTGGAAATAATATAAACAGTAATATAAAAATATGTTTCTATAGTTCATTGTTTTATCCTATATTTTAGGGAAAAGTGGCTTGAACTTAGAAGAACCTCCAGCAAGAAGCCTTGAATCAAAAGCTACTGGTACCAGCATTAAGGATGTACTTAAAGAACAAAAATTTTTAGAAAAAAAAGTAGCCCTAAGCAGGAAAAGAAAAAGAGATTCAAGGTATTTGTGTGCTTGGTTGTAAGACATAAAGTTTTTTGATACTTATTTTTCATCTTGAAAAGATTCTGCTCAGCTTTGTAAGGTGTCTTATTTGTTTAACAGCTTCCTCTTAAATATTTGAGCAATTTTGCTGCCAATAAGCATGAAATTGAAGCATGAGTAGTGGCTGCTTGTTGTAGCTCAGAGGGCTGCAGTAGGAGCCTTTGTGTGGATTTTCACACAGTGTGGTAATAAATGCACAAGAATAGGCAGCTGTTAGATGTTTGTGTGTCTAATATGAAAATTTCAGGGAATGTGTTTCCATTAACTATTATTTTCTGATCTGAATGCATTTCTAGTAGATGTCTAATATGCTGTATAGTGAATCCTTTCAGTTGTTCTCCTGACAAAAAAAAAGATTTCTATCTCCCTTTATGAAGGCATTCTTTTTGCTAGCCTTTGTTGCTTGTTTGTTGGGTTGCCTTTTCAATTGCTTGCTTTAACTGTTTCAGGCATGTTGAAGATAGCGGGAAAAAGAAATATGAGCCATCTGAAGATGATTCTAAAGATATACAAAAGACAAATGAGGTAGGTATCTTAAACTTATTCCAACAAACTTCTTAATGCAAATAAATTTCATGTTTATGTAATTGTAAAACTTTCATATGCATACACCAAGTTGAATACTGCTGCATTCACTTTTATAATTCTTTTTCTGCTAGTTCTGTCATTCCAGTTAGTGAATCTACTGAATTCTTAGTGCGAGTTTAAATCTATGTAACGGTTATGTCTGGTGTTGATATATGCATGATACTTAATTTCAACTCCTGTTTTGCAAAGCCTTTTGGGTCCAAAAAAGAAACAAAGCATGTCTTATACCCAGAGATATGAAGTGTCTGATCTGTTTAGCTTTGCAAACAAAAGCTTAAATTAAAAACAGACTGTATCCCAAACAGTACAGGAAACTGATTTTTTTTGAGACTTTTTGCCTCAAATGTTGCCACCAAAAAAGTGGTAGCTAAAAAATCAAATTGAGTCAAGAATTATCTTTAAGAAATCCAAATTTGTCATTGACCAGCTAGCATTATGGCTCTTTAAATTTTGTGAGATATTTGTAGTCACAATGATCCATTTAAAAAAGATCATTAAAAGAATTAGTGTTATTCTAGTTCAAAATGCTTGTGCGTAATTTTTTTTTTTTTGTTTTATTTTATCACAAATTTGTAGTTTTTCCCACAATGGCAGATATTTGAAGTAAAAATCCCAAATTTCATTTTCTTACTGGTCATATGATCAGTTTTTATTGCAGTAAGTGGATTCCCTGATATACTGTACTTATTGAGAACAATTCTGTTCAGTTAGAGCATGAAGGAACTATGTAGCTCTTGCTTATCTGCATGATTTTCTTTTGTAGGCTTGTGAAAAGAATTCTTTAAAAGAACTGAAGCATAATCATGGAAAAAGTGAAATATCTAAACCTCTTAAAAGGCTTTCAGAGTCGGTGCATTCAACTGAAGAAAACAAGAATGATTCTAAAGTGGAGAAAGAACATAAAAGAAAAATGTCCGTCACTCTTCAGGTTGAAGGAACCCAGCATGATAGTGAAATAAGGGATTCAAAAAAACAACTGGAAAAAGTAGATGTTAATACTGAAGATTTACAGAAGCAAAAATCTACATTTAAGAATGAAAAACATCCCAAAAAGGATAATGATACAGAAATTCAACATGTAAAAAATGCTGCCAAAAAAGAAGCCAAGTCTTACAGAGATAAAAATGAAAAGGAGAGAACTGCTTCAGAAGATAAACCTTCTCTAAAGCACAAATATAAAGGGGACAGTGTTCATAAATCAAACGAGGATGTTGAACCCCATTCCTCTGAGAGAGGCTTGAAAGGAGAGGATGGTGCTCAGAAGCATAATCAGCAAATAAAGGTTTCTTCAGATGACAAATCTGAAAGAAAAAACAAGCATAGAAGTGAACGGAAAATATCAGTATCTGAAAAAGATGGGAAAAATATTTCTGAATCTACTCCAAAAGCTGAAGAGTTACTGCGTAAAGAAAATAAAAAAGACAAGCATCTCACAACAGAAAAACCAAGAGCAGAATACAAGTCCAAAAGGTCACTCAGTGATTCCAGGCCACAAAAGGATTCCACAAGTGCCTCAAAACAACCTGCTTCTGTGTCACACAGAAGGAGTGAAAGTTACTCAGAGGATAAACATGAATTAGAATCGCCTAACTCTGATTGTAATTTGAAACAAGAAGATAATGTTCACAAAGATAGACGAAGATCCAAGAGTCTCGTAGAAGACAAGTTTTTGTTGAAGTCTAAGTCAAAGAGTCATAGTAGGCAATCCAGGGCAAGTGAAACAGATGTACAGGAAAACTCAACAAAGCAAGACACAGTTCAGAAAATGGACAAAGATAAGAGCCTCGAAGAGAATGACTCAGAAAAACAACATAAAGCAAAAACTGAAGATAAGCAATCTGAGGAAAGCGGTGGTGTGTTTGAGTTCGAGAGTGGTGTGCAGTCAACTCAGGGATCACAAAAAGACTTTAGTCACAGAGTTAAGTTACATTCAGGAGAAAGAGGATCTGTAAAAGAGAAATGCAGGAGTGATAAAGATTCAAGCAACTCCAAACTAGAAAGAAAGTTATCTGAGAGTCACAAAAGCAGAAGTTTGAAGCATAGTAACAAGGAAATAAAGAAAAAGGAAGATAATAGCAAATTAGAGGATAAAAATATTAAAAAAACAGATAGTAGTCATGAAAAAATGTTGGGCACTGTAATGGCAATGGATAAGAAATCCAGTAAAAAAATATCATGTGAAAATAGAAAAGTCAGTGTATCAAACCAAGATATGCAAGCAGAAGAAAAGCAGTCAGTTGGCACAATTATCACCAGCCATACTCCAGCCATTCAAAAGTCAAGTACAAATAGTGATGCCTCCTCTTCTGCCCGTGAGGGAGAACTGATGGAACTTGATTTGGAACAAGCAAAAGTACAGGAAGTACCTAAAACTGAAGGAAAAAGGGCTCAGAATTCACTCCAAGCTACAGCTGCTGAAAATACTAAAGAAAAAGTCTCTGTTTCAAGTAAGAAATTAAAATACAGCTTGTCAGATCCTGATGCTTGTAAATCTCAGCTTCTGGCTGCAGTTGAAAAAACTGTTAAACAAGAAAATATCCCTAATAAAGACATCAGTGCCTTAGACACTTCATCCAAACAGACTTCCATGGATCAAGGGCCCAATAAGCAAGGGGCTTACCAAATGAGCATTGTGTATGAAACAAGTGGTAGAATCTTACTCAATGCTCCCAGCAAGGATCAAGCTTCAGAAGACAGCAAGAAACCAAAGAATTCAAAAACTGTGATAAACCCTAATGTAGATAATGATCCTTTAGCTATTAACTCTTCCAGACAAGATGCTACTGATGTGAAGTCCGTGGTTGTGGATAGCTCAGATTTTGCAGATTCCTTGGGTGGTACATTGAAAGAAGAATGCCATAATTCAGATAAGACTTCTCTAAATAAAGATGCTTTCATTTTAAAGAATGGTGCAGCACAGGCCGTGTACACAGAACAAGACAGTGCCTCAGTAAGTTCTTTTATGAAAGACAATGGCAACAGTGCTGTGATGGACAGCATACAAAAGGATGGTGAGGTTCCCCTACCCAATAAACAAGCAATGAAAAACAAAGCTGACCTATGTATTCAAGATTATGGCAATGCAACTAAGTTGGAGAGCTCTCAAAGGAGTGAATCTAAAATAAAAGATGAAAGCTTGATGACTGACATACCTGAAGTGTGTGAAGATGCAACAGCAAGAGAACTTGCCCTAGCAAACCTAGAAAGACAGGAAAGAGAATGCTTGAATACAGGCCCTTCTACAAAGGGAGAAGGAGGCAGGGTGATAGATAATATGAAAAGCAATGAGGTGCATGATATTGATGAGACAATACAGTCTTCCTCTGTGTTAGTAAGAGTTCCAGAAGAAATGGACAAAGACTCTGTTATAGCTGGTAGAGAAGAAGGGAGTGGCGTGACTGACATGGAAGATAAAAATGAAAATAGTGCTGTAGGTAGCAGTGCAGGAAGTGGTAAACTCAGTTTGTTGCACAGCAGCCTTCAAACAACTGTGCCCACTGTGATAGGAACTAGCACAGAAACGATTGAGAGCACAGGAATAGCCACTAGCACAGGAGAAGGAAGATCAGAAGGTGCACTGCATTGTGAAAAGGAAAGTGATGCTACCACCACTTGCTCAGAAGAGAGCGAGGTGACATTAATTTGCACAAGCATAGAAGCTGATGAAGGCTTCACAACCGACATCTGGGTAAAAGGTAGCGAGGGAGGTGACTTCATCTCAGGAGCAGATGGTGAGTGTACTGTTGCAGCAGCTGAAGAAGGCAGGAGTGGTGTTGTCACCGCAGGATTAGCAGAAAGTGAAGGCTTCCTAACTAGCACAAAAGAAGAACATGATGAGTATAGCATAGTTGATGCAGAAGAAAGTAGTAAGGATTCAGTCTATGCAAGCGGGGTAGAGATTGAAGACAGCGTGAATAGCGCTGGAGTGGAAGAAAAAGATGATGCTGTAACTAGTGCAGGCTCTGAAGAAGAGCGAAAAACTTCAACTTCTGGAGATGCTGGCAAACTTGAAAGTTCTGTATCCTGCTTAGGCGAAGTAGAGAGCGATGGTGCTGTAACCAGTGCGGGAACAGAAACAGGTGAAGGATCCACAAGCAGTGACAATGCAGGTGAATTTAGTAGCAGTGTGGTAAGAGGTGGCCAAGTCAAAGAACATGAAGGTACTGTGACTTGCACAGGGGCAGAAGAGAGAAGTCATAACTTTGTAATCTGTTCGGTGACTGGTACAGATGCCCAAGGAGAAAGCACTGTAACAGGTGCGTGTATTGAAATGGACACAAACAACAGTGCCACAACTGGGTCTAGCGGTGACAAATGTGAGGATCCTGTAAATGGTGAAAGTGCGGTGACAAGCACAGGCATAACTCCAGAAGATGATGCGGAAGTTTCAGTAGTCTGCACAGGGCTAGAAGACAGTAGTGAAGGGTTTGTAGTTTGTTTGGATGCTGAAAAATGTGAAAGCCTGATGGACAGTACAAGGGCAACGGAGGAAGCCAACGTCACTATGGTCAGTGTAGGCCCTTGTGATGATGAGGACTTTGTGACTAGTACAGGCTCAAAAGAGGAGGATGAAGAAGGTGAGGATATTGTCACCAGTACTGGAAGAGGAAATGAAGAAATTGAGCACGCTTCTACTTGTACAGGAATGGAACATGAGAATGCAGTCCTTTGTATAGGTGCAGAAGAAGGTGAAAGTTCCATTATCTGTATAGTTGCTGAACAAATGGAAGCCGAATCAGGAGTGGCTGGCACAAATATAAATAAGCTTAGTGTTGACAGCTTGACAGATGTGGAGGAAGAAGGTAACCGTGGCACAAACTGCCAAAATGCTAAAGGGATTGTTGAAAGCAGTGTAACCAGTGCGAGTACTGCAGAGGGTGCCCTGACAGCACATACAGGAGAACACGAACATGTCCTGATTCCAGCAGATGCTGAGGAATGTGAGGGTCCTATGACTGGTGCTGCGACAGTGCAGGATAAGGGTCAGTCTGGTACTGTAGAAGAGCTTGAGAATGCCACAGTGTCCTTCGGCAACAGAGAACTTGATGGCTCTATAAGTAGTGCAGCTCCAAAGGAAGATGAGAATTCTCTTCCTGCTGACAAGGAAGAAGAAAATAAAGGTGGTGATATCTCTACTAGCACAGTGGAAGAAAGTGATGCTGCCTTACATTCAGCTGTGGATGCTGAGGAAGGTCCTCTGGCCATAGCAAGGGCAAATGAAAGTGGGGAAAGCTCTATGGTCTTAATAGACTCTGAAGACACGGAGGTGCCCATGCCTAGTACAGCTACAGAATTTAAAGAGAGTATTCATGCCTCTAGCAGTAAACAAGAAAAAGATGAGTGCACTATGATTTCCACAAGTATTGTGGAGGAAATTGAGACTCCTATGTCAAGTGCTGCTGTTGAATATGATGGCCAGCTCCTCTCTGTGAGATCAGAAGAAATAAGTGAGAATAGTATGGTTTCTGTAGATATGGAAGTATATGAAGTTCCAATGCCCAGTGCAGGAGGAGATGATGAAAGTCACCCAACTGCTAGTGGCAAAGAAGAAAAAGATGAGTGTGCCATGATTTCCACGAGTGTTGTAGAACAAGTAATCCTAATGTCTGGCGAAGTTACAGACGAGGCAGGTCAATGTGTCTCAGACACAGAGTCAAAAAGTGAAACTGTGGTGATCTCTACAAGTACTGCAGAATGTTTTGAAGCTCCAATGTCTAGTGGAGATGTGCAAGATGAAAACAAACTCACTGCCTCGGAAGCAGAAGGAAGATATGAAGCTGCTATGATCACTACAAGTATGGCAGAAGAATGTGAGATAGTCCTGATTAGTGCAGCACCACAAGCTGAAAGTGAGCTCATTGTGGCAGGAGGAGATGACGAAGCCCTTCTCTCTCCAAATGCAGCAGAGGAACATAAGGTTGTGGAGACCAGTGAAACTGCAGATGAACAGTTTGAACTAGCAGCTTTCAACGCAAATGCAAAAAGCCAAAGTTCTGTGATTTTTGTGGGAGAGTGTGGAGCTCCTGTGCTTAGAGTTGCTACCAACAGTGAAGATCAACATACTGCTTCAAGTGCAGGAGAAAAAGAGGAAGGGGCCGTGATCACAGTAAGCACGATGGAAGAATGTGATAGTCTCTTTACCTTTGCAGTCATAGAAGAAGGTCAGCTTGCTGCTGAGAGTACAGAAGTAAAAGAAAAAAGTGAGGATATGTTTAATCCTGCTAACCAGATTGAATGCGTCCTCTCAACTGCAAGTCTAGAAAAAAGTAATAATTCTTTGCTTGTCGTTAGTAGAGAGAACGAGACTTCTGAGAGTATTGTGAGAGGAGAGTCATTAGCCGCTCAAACCACAGTAGACAGTGAAATCTCAGAAACAAATGAAAATTCGATGAACCTTCTGAGTGTAGATGAAGCTCTTTCTGTGGAGGTTAGTACAGAGACTGCTGCGAGTCCAAGCCCTTCCACCGAGGCAAATAAGGATGATGAGGAAGCTGAAGGTGATGTATCCCATGAGGATGTTGCATCAGAGCTCTCCTGTGTTGTTTCAGATGCAGCAATGGAGAACGAAGCTGTGAGGAATAAAGACTATCAATTTAATTCAGACTTGCTTTTAGAAAGTGACTTTTCTGAAACAAGGACTCCACAGCCTAAGACAGAGGCTCTTTCCTTAGCTTCTGCAAGTGCAGTTACTGTAAATGCCAACCACAGTGAAGTGACTGTAGAAGCAGAATTAAGGGAAAAAAGTGATGCCCCTGTTTTGCATGGAGAAGAGCTATATGAAAATGGTGGCAAGATGAACTTGGTGAAAATAGATGATGTTGGGATTGAAGTTACTTTCCAAAAAAGTAAAACAGTCCTTAATTCAGGTGAGGCTTACTTTTTCTTTTCTTCAGTTTATAGACTGATGCAAACAAATGCATTTTAGCACAAGTAGTTAGAAATAATTCAGACTGTTTAAACACATTTAAAAGGTTGATGGGTAAGTTTTAATAGTTTATTTAGAAATTGATGATAAATGCTTATTTTAGCATTTGATTCTTTGAGTATAGGAGTGATATATGGATGCATTTTACTTACACATCTCTTCAGCATTTTAAAATGGTAACTTTTAAGTGGTTTTGAAGATTGAGTGGCCACCCTTAAATCATAACTACAAATTTTCTCTGAATAGGTTACTGGCTCGGGCTGAATTTCTCTCTTGTGAATGAATGAATACTTAAAGTGATGTTTTAGACCTAAAACTTAAGTTATAGCAAGTGGTGTTTTAGGCCTAAAACTTAAGTTATAGCAGTATACAGCACTAATCACTTTTTATTTCCATATCAAGTTTTCAAGAAGCTAGTGTGAAATGAGCTTCCATAGTTTATAGTCTCTAAAATGCTGCGTAATGAACAACCTACTATTTTCAGCCTTTCTTTTCTTTGAGCTTCCAGAGTTATCAAATAATAAATTCTTTAGATGCTATAATGAATTCAAAATTATTGTCTCATTAGAGATTCTGGAGAAAATAACCTGTAAAAGAGATAACAGAGAAATCTGTTTATCTTCATTTAAACCGAGGGAAAATGAATTGTGCTGATCAAGTACTTCCTTGAAAACTTTCTCCTCCTTGTGTCTTTGTCATCACCGTTATTTAAAAAAATACGCTAAAACATTATAATTTGATTTTAGATACAGCTTTACAAAGATATTGAATTATTTTTTTTTGATACCTCTGATGAGAAAGCTCACTCTGCAGATTCGGGGATTTTAGAAGTACGTCAGAAAAGCTGCTAAGCTTGCAAGCTTGTAAAAGGTTACTCAGGTTTTTTTTTACAACACAGACGAGCACGAACCGTGAAAATGTAAACTACCGTGTTCAGATATGATGTTGTCTTCTTGATGCAACTTCTGTGAATCCAGTGGTAATAGCACATTAGGTATTTTTATGGACTGCAACCTCAGCTTCTGAAATAGGTGTCTGGAAAGGCTGTGCAAGTTAGGAGAATGCCATCTGCATGCTCTGTCTTTCAAACAATTTTAAGCACACTGCTGGTCCCTTATGAGATAAAGCATGTGGAGTTCAAGGTTTTATAGAACAACTGTCTTTTGTCAGTAACAAGAGCTACCGAGCTTTCAATCTTCACAAAAAACAAGTAATTTGAATGGTTATGTATTTAGAATTACTTGTGTTTCTGCAGAAGGCAAGTTGTTTTCTGAACTGGTATACTGTAGAGGAAAACGCTGTCATATCCATTGCCTAGAGCATGGGATTAAATTCACATGCCGTGTTTGTGAGATAGTACTAAGGAATAGTATCCTACTGTAGCATGAGATAAATATAACATAATTTTAATATATTTTTTATTTAATTAGGAAATAATGCAGCATTACCAAACTTGGCAGAAGAATTAGAACTTGAAACCAACTTGAGAACTGAAGAGGTATTTGTGTTACTTCATAAATTTTGATTTTAGTTTTTCTTGTGTAATTATACATCTTTTTTGGATTTCTTTCCGTACCTGTCGCTTTCTGTGCAGCTAGAACTGCATTGAACTTAGAGACTTTCAAAGGGTCATTTCCTCATATTATTTAACTATATTTTTTTTCTAAGTGACCGTCACTTAAATTGTGTGAGTTGTCCTTCTTATAGTGGTAGACCCAATTACCCCCTTCAGCCACATCCTTTCCTTAACCATCCGAATTTGATCTTTTTAGAATTGGCTATACTGTGAATGTGTTGCTTGTGATGGTACTTGTGAAAGAGTCATGCTTGCTTCTCAGAGTTGATAGTCATGAGTTTGGTCTTTTGAAATAGTGAGCATACACTGCTGTTCATTCTGTTGTGCCACTTTTATGCTAGTCTTTAGATTGAGCCATTCTCTGTGCACTTGAAGAAGATTTGCTGTAGTTTTCCACTCCAGTAACTACAGTTGCACTGTAGTAACAGAAAGCTGGGGCATCCTGAATGATGCAGGGCCCCGAACACTGATAGCCAGTGGACGTTGAGCCTGCCCATTTGTGCATGGGCTGTGATCCATGTAAGCCAGGAGATCCAGAAGGGTTAATTCAGATGCAGGAGGTGGTCTGCATGTGTGTATCCTGCCAAGCCAGCATTATGATCACTCTGATGGGGAATATGGGTCAGATAACTTTCAAATATCTTTGAAAGAGTTGTCTTTGGACCTGGACAGATTTATTGGTCCCTGGGCATCTGGGCAGACCAGTTTAACATTTCCATATCATGGTTTTGGTGACAGGGATTCCAGTAAGGCAGAAAAAGGAGTCAGCTTCAGTTTGGTGGGATTTATTAGTGTGAATGCACATGGGGTCAAGATATGGACCTAGTTGTGTTCAGGAGTTTCCAACATCCAAATCTGCCTTTTGTGTTGCATGAGGCTAAGTGTCCTCTCCATGCATCCTGAATAGTTTAAACCCTGCAGATGCATATTTTTCTGAAAATGAGAACATTTTAAAAAAGTCTCATAATCAAAACTTCTCTTAGAGTAGGAGTAGCACTTATGTTTCTGAGATTCCCTTCAGATCTCCTTACTAAACTTACTCATTTTTACTATATCCATTTTAACTCTAAGGTCAAGCTCATAGCAGAGCATTATTTGTCAGTGATGTGACTAAGCTCTACCAGAGTTCTTTATTCCTATTTCTGTCTGATTAGAAAATCTTGAAGATTTTTACTGTAAAAGCCTTGTAATAACACTTTTAATTACATGAGGAAGCGGCACGAGACATAATTCCAAATCGGATGTCGGCAGTATTTTTGTCTACTTTCGTTTTTGTTTAGTCACAACAGCCTGGAAGTCCAAGAAGTGAAGAAGTATGTGTGGATCTTCACGCTGAAGAGTTTCAAAAAGGTAAATAGCAGTTTACATTTTCATATCGCTTTGACTATTGCTCATAAATTTCTTCGTAGGTTTGATATATACAGTGTCTAGAGGAAATGATAAAAAGTCAGCAAGAAACCTGCTTGAAACCTTTTTATTGGGGTCATGTGGATTTGCCTGGGAGGGGAAGTCCTCCTTTTCTTTCTGTGGTGTTTGGAAGAAGGGTCATAAGTTTTCAGTGCTTAAAAAAACTGCTAACATTCTATCTAAAATCAATAAATAGGAAGAAATATGTTCTGTGTTCAGGCAAGATACAGAAACTTCCCCAGAGAACAGCTCTCTTTCTTCTAAACTTAGAACATCCTTGTTTCTGGTGTTGTGACAGGCCCTTTGAGAATATGACAACAGTAAGTGCTGTATGACTAAGTCACAGAGCCTTCAGAGAGATTGATTTTTTTGGTCTTGCTCTTCAGACGCTGAGAATGTTTCTGGCTGTCCGCTGAGATTTGAAAAGCACTTATAAGTAGGTAATAATCTAACCAGAAATCTCAGTTAGTCAGATTGTCCCTATGCTCAATAATTACTCTTTAAAGTACTAAACTAATCCTAAATAGGGGAAAAAAAATCCTTGTCTCCCCCACAAACATTACTTTAAAAATACATTGCCATTGTTTGGCTTTCCTGTTAAAGCATGAACAAACCCATACTTTGTTCCCATCTTGATGGATTTTGTGCTCCAGATGCTCTACAAAGATGTTTATAGCAGTACCAGATGAGAGTTAATCTTCAGTTAATGGAATAACAAGCAAAACTGAAGTGAATTCCATGCAGTACCAGGATTACTGTTGTATATAGAGTTCAAAGAGGTTAAAGATGCATTTCCTCCTCTGGAAAGTCGCAACTGAATGCCTAAACGCAAGAAAGGGACACGCTTGAGATGTAAAGTTTATTTTATAATTATTTGGACAAGTATACTGAAATAAGTATTCACCAAAAGAAAAAAAAAAGGCAGGGGGGAAAAAAAGGGACAAGACTTAGTAGTGAGTTACTGGTATAGTTGTAGAGTCTTTTTTTTTATTCTTGAGATAAGTTGAAATCACATACCTAACTTAATGTTATAGTATGCTCATTTAAGTGATGAGACATAGTTTGCTTATAAGAAATAAAATACAAGCTTCGAGAATGAATTGGAAGACTATGATCCAAATCCAAAGTTGTAACAATTTTTTTTTTTTTGCTATGAAGTTTCTTGGAAGTGCCTGAAAAGTTTGGATGCTTCAGATCATTCAGTCACCCAGACGGACAATAATTAACTTTTTAAGATGTTCTATTGAATTAGCTGTGATAATCTTGTTTTGTGTAAAATGTTTAACAAGAATCCATTTATTATGTAAATCATGTTGGATATGACACACACTGAAGAATAACACTTTGTTGCTCTTGGTAGAGCGTTGTGTTTTTTTCCTTCCCCACCACTCAATAATCTTTTTAATATATAAATGCATGTGTATGTATATATAAATACATGTATATATATCTCAACGTACGTAAAAGGAAGTTGTTTAAAAGACAGATGTGTGTCCTGTCATGAGTATGAACAGCAGACACAGTAGTTTAGTAGTTCAAGGTTCCTTGGAATGTAAACATATCATTGCTGTTTGAGTGGATAGGAGCTAGCTCTTCATTTGACACTGCTTTAAAAATTGGAAGATGTTTTGCAACCATGGACGTAGCCATGGAAAAGTGTTTTTAGGAAACGTAAATTGACGAAACGGGCTGCAAATTATATTAAATACATAGATGATTTTTATTGGATTGTAGACTTATATTCTTATTGTATACTTGGATTGTTTGGGTACCGTAGTAGTGGTGTTTGGCTTTTAAATTAAAAGACTGATTCAGTATCTTTACAATAAGACACAAGGGTGTCCTGAGACCTTTAGCTATCCAGCACCTGGCTCGCAGACAACTTCTGCACGTGCATTGTATCAGCCCCAGGTCCTGCCACCAGAACTAGGCAAACCCTCGTTCTTGGTCGAGGCTCATGGTGCAGCCTAGTGTTCAACCTGTTTGATTTTATCCTGTGATCTAGCACCTCAGTTAGTGCTTCAGATTTATGGATGACCCATTCAAATGCTAGAACTGTCCTGTATTTGAAATTCCAGAATTACACACACAAAAACATTCCATATGTTCCAGTGTTCCTAGCCTCATGATTCCCTGTATTTTAGCCGTTAAATAATTGTCACATTTCCTATACTTTAGAAGTGCATAATCTTTAATTTTGTTTGTTTAAATATCATTAGGGAGGAGATAAAGTGCTTGGCTACTTCTAATCTGCAGCATCAAAAGTAAATTGCATAGTTTCAGGAAGGTGAAGTAGATGGTATTTTACTCTTGCTGATTTTTCTTTAATAGATTTGCAGCAGAGGAGTGTTTCTCTGGACACAGATACTGCATGTGTAAGTTCTCTTTCTAAATTTATTAAATTATGCTCCTTTATTCTTACTTGCATTTCTATTTATATTCAATGTTCTCTAAGGGAAAATGTTATTTCTTGCAAATGCAGAGCCTATAGATGTTGAGATTGTGCAGCTGTGTTGGTTGATGTCTAATTATTCTTTTGAATTTGCCAGTACATACATCTTTGTGTATTGTTGTGTTACTATTTCAAAGTTACTGTTTTGTCCTCTTTGGGAATAAAGGACAAAATGAGGAACTGTATTTGAGGCTTTGGTCAGGATTTTTGGTCTTTTTTTTTTTTTGGTTGAGGCTTTGGTCATTCTTTTAATGCCATTCACTGTGATCTCACATTTAGATGGAGAATGAATAAGAAAGTGTGTGGATTTGGTCTTTTTGTTTTTATTTTGCTTTCTTGAGACAAATCTCATGTATGTGTACTATGTTACAGTGCTCATTACTCACAGTTCCATTCTAAGTACTGATTTTCTTTCTGTCTGTAGGGAAGTGTTGTTTATGAAATCCAAAATTTACGTCGTTAAATCCAAAAATATTTCCAGTAAATTTCCATACTTTGTCAATTTTTTTAAGCATATAATAGTAAAACAGTGTGTTTCTTTTTTTTAAAAAAAGTTAAATTCTGAAAGTACTGGAAATCTGAAGTTTTTTTTATGATGCTGCCATATAGTAGGAGCAAACTTTTTTATTATTGTTCTTATATTTACTATTAATTTTTATTTTAATGTTTGTTGTATCTGAAAGTAGTGAGTAGGAAAACTTGGTCCATTCTGTTCCTGTAACATTTATGGGAAAAAAAAACGAAGGTGGTATTCTTTGCATTTTGTGCCTAGGTGGGAAAGGTAGATCAGAAGATAACTGGAGAACATAAAAGTAAAGAAATGAAATCTAAATCTTCAGGAACAGTAGATAAAGAAAAATGTAAGTAGTATATATCTGCAAAAATCTCTTTAAAGTTTTTCTGATGGAAAGAGTTTTACTGAAATCAATCTATTTAACAAAAATACTTTTTGGAGGAAAGAATGGAGGGAGAATTCCAAATTCAAAACCAAAAAAATATTACTTTCTAGAATAACTCTTGGTGTTTTGCTTCATATGTTTGACAAAAACATTTGTCAAATGTAATTAGTTACAGCATGGAAGACAATAATGTAGTTGTTATCAAATTTTGTTTTTTTCTTTAAGATGATTGTTGTCCTTCCTTTTTATAAATTATTTTTAAACTATTTTTATAAATTATAAAAATATGTTTGTACACAGTTTCATATGTCATATTGCTGTGTGTTTAGATACAAAAGTATCAAAAGTCTGGTAAGGAATATAAAACTGAAGAAAGCTGAGCATTGGGGAAAAACTCTAGCTTTTATTCTTAGGCTGAGTGTTTCCTAATGTTCATCTGGAAAGTCAGAAGTTTTACTATAACATTTCTTTCTGTCTAGAAACAAAAGATGAGCAAGGAGTCAATCTATTCAATGTCATAATTATTTCTAGGATAATGTGGTCCCTGTATTGACATTATTATGAAATTGACTATATAACATCTGCAAGCCCTGTCCTCAACTGGAGCCAAAGTTTTTAGTAGTAGTTTTTGCTTTCCTCTCTCCAGCAGCAGAGCGATAAAGAGATTGCATTAAACTAATTGTTGATGTCATTTCTTTGATTCTTCTACTTCTAAGAATGTTGGTTCGATGAAGTGACTGATTACAAGTCATGCAGTGTTCATTAGTGTTGTATATGGCATTAACTGTTTCTTGTAGTGGGGTTGTAGTTATAGTTGATGTTTGGTTTCTTTTTATAGTATCTCAATGCACTGAAAACTAAATTTCAATTTTAAGGTCATGCATGAAAAATGAATCACAGAATTTTTTTTTGTATAACCGTAGTGTCTTTTCAAAAAGTTCAATATAATTTTCTGTTAATGTAAATGTTTCTATATTGTAAAGAAGGTGCTACTTTAAAAAAATATATTGAATTGTGCTAATGATGCACTGATATAAAAGAGTATCAAGTCAGAAAAACACACTATTATTTGTTTTTCTTCAGGCAACCAGCTGATTGCCCAGGATGCTAGAAATGGTGAAGAACAAACTCAGGGTTCCAAAACAAAAGCTAATAACAACAAGGTGTGTGTGTGTGGTGGGATTTGTTTCTTTTGTTTGTTGATTTTATTAACTGTTACACACATGTTACTGTGTATCCCTAACTGTAATGAATAATACTGAACTCTCAAGCTTGTATTTCTCTAGTTTCAGGAGGTCTTTTTCATCATTAACCAAGTTACTTCTACATTGCTTTGAATATAAAACAACTGTGACTAGAGAATGATTCCCTTTTCAAGAGAAATCCGTTAAAAAAAAAAAAGATAGCAGACATCTGTGTTCTGCATAACCTCTGTGCAGCACCCACATCTCTGAGATACATAGGGCAGCTTTGCACCATAGTTATGAGTTTAGCAAATTTTCGGCCATTCTGATTGGAATGAGTCCCAAGTCCTGGGTTTGCAATGATAAGCTTGCATGTAAAACAGAATTCAATGAAAAATAGATGTTCCTTGTAGGGCTGATTGCAGGATACTTTGAATTATCCTGTGTACTAATTTTGATGAAGGTACTTAGTGTCAGAATTTCTGAGACATTACAGGATCTTAAGTGAAATACCTATGTGTTTTTTAGGTTACGTAATTTTTAGCAATTACATTTAATTTTTATTAAGCTACTCTTTATTGTTTCAAAATCATGCAGGAAGCTGTTGTGGGTGATACTGCAGAAGTGACCGAAGAAATTGATGCGAAATACACACCTCCTAAAAGTGATGGGGAAGGGAAAGGTAATGAAAATGCATTTTCAGAGCAATTTCTTGAGTCTGTACTAAATACGTTTGATTGATTTTAAGGGAATCTTCATCCTGGTCAGGTATCTGTGTATATTCCCTAGTTGTTTCATACTCTACTACTCCTATCAAATAATGCATTTTGGCAAGTCCTTTAATGATGAGAGTAATGCTGATGTTTCTGCTAATAATAATCTGGCTGAGAGGAGGAGTAAACTGTTATCACCTGTGCACACAGTTGCTGTAGCTTCAGTATGTGGCCTGAGTAGGGCAGTCCATCAGACGTGACAGTTGGCTGAGGAATAGCACAGTTGGGACACATGACAAGGTCACCTTCTTTCTCTGATCAGAAGTAAGAAAGGCCTTTCCTTGGCAGAATTCTGATGTGCTCACCTTTTAAAAGCAATTCTTTTTGCTTCCTTAGAGAAGTGAGTCACGAAAGAGCATAAATTGCACTGTTTTAGATGTTTCATTAACACCACTAAAACAAACAAGTACAGGTGACATGTCCTCAACATGTGGACCTAGTCTGCTTTTGTGTGAATAGGGCAACTCTTTTCTATGAGCAGCTGCCCTGTTGATAGCTCTGTCTCATCGATGAGCCTGTCTATGATTTTGAAACTGGTTTGCAGTACACTTCGAGCATATCCTCGGCTTCCTGTCCCATGGAACGTGGGAGAGAATCAAGTAGTGGTTTGTCTTCATCTTGCCCTTTTTTTTTTTGAAGAGTCTTGCCTTCAAACTGTGCTTTTTTTCTTAGATTCAAAATCCCTGACTGTGGACAGTGAGGTATACTGGCAATCCAGTACATTAGTGCAAGACAAATCAAGGTTTACGGGAGTTGCTTTTTGGACCATTGAGGAAAGTAATGCTTTTAAAATAGTGCCAAAATTCATGTACCTTTTCCAGTATCTAAAAGCAAAATTGTACTTTTGTGTGTGTGTGCAGATGAAGTCATCATCAAGCAGGAAATGTCTGAAAAGGCAAAGCAGAATCTAGAATCAAATGCAAGCTCTGTAGAGGTGAGTGCTTGTCAGGTAACTGAGATAAAGCATGTTCACAGTACTTGTTTTCCCATTTTTGTTGATAACAGTAATAAAACTTCACCAAAACAAAAATAGCTGTGGAAAAGATGTCTCTTGGCACTGTGAAATCAAACACTCAGGTGATTCTCTGTTGCAAAGTATAAACTCACAATATGAAGTATCAGTGCTCAATTATTGACCTAGAAATAACTCTCTTCTGGCACAAAGTAGTCTGAAGAGACACTAAAGAATTTCATTTAATATTTTGTTTAATATTTCCTTTGCTTCATGTTCTAAAAAAGAAAGATTGCACCAGAAACCCATAAAAATGGTAATTTCAAATACCTGTTTTTTACAGCATAGTTGATCACAGTTTTTTTTCCTTCATTTTCTCAGAAAGTAACACTTATGCTCCAAAACTATCAGTCTGGAACACACATGGTATCAGTTTCAGAATAGCAGGTCTGAGTTCCAATACGTTGACTGCTCCAGACTTTATGATGAAAATATTACCGCTTAAAAAGTTTAAACCTCTTTGTATTATCTTTTAGCTTTATGTGGCATATTCTGCAGTGGTATATGTAAAAGACTGTGGTATATGAACCCATAGAGATGAAGAATGTTGCTCAGCTGCAGAAATGAACAACTTCGTACTCCTAGAGACCTTAACATTCATCATTTGCATTTTTCTCTCTTAAGTGGAAATGGAAAAATTTCCAAATTCAGAGAGTAGGACATAACATTTGTTCCCTCAAGATTTGAGTCCATAGGAGAAAGAAATACCGTAGACTTCAGTAAATTTTCAGTGAGGAACTTAACCAACTTTCCATGGTGATAGAAGAAAGGAATTTATTATCAAGGGTTTTTTTGTGAACTGAGCGTATGACCAATTTCATTATTGATAAATTTCTCTCAAAGCTTAACTTAAAAGTAAGGTACATTTTCCTCTGAAGACTCTGTTCCTATAGAGATCTTTACCAGTCTGAGTAATAGGGTGATTAAGATGCTGAAGTAAACATCTCCTCCATTGCTATGAGATGCAGCCTGCATTACATTGCTTTGCAAAGGTACTGCCAAGATGCAAAGTTTGGAGCTCTCAAGAAAGCAGAAGAATGTAGTAGTGTTTTTGGGGGAAGATAATACCATTTATTAGCCTAGGAAATCTAGTTGATAGGAGGGGAAAGTATTACATTCTCAGGTCTGCCTCAGGCCAGTCACAGTCTGTGTATTCAGTAACTTTTCTTTTTTCCCAGCTCTCAATGGGTTTCGTAAGAATCGGTGTCTTTTCCTTATAAAATCTGCCTCATCTGTGATTTTTAAACTAGCAAACGCTACTTCTGTTGCTAATACGTTGAGTTGTTACCATTTTTCGTATTATGTTATTGAAATGGAAATCCATACTAAATGTCAGTTGTAATTTCAAGTGTTTTTGTCCTTTGCTTTTCACAGGAAAATCAGCCTGTAGTAGTGAAACGGAAGAGAGGAAGGCCTCGTAAATATCCCCTTGAGGCTGTACCTGGTGGTAAGTATTTGCAAAATAGCTATACGGACAGATAATGAAAAGAGCCAGCTCTGAAGTTCTGAATTCATATTTCTTCCTTCAGGTGGGGAGTCAAAAGCTGATATGAGCACTGGGAATGTAAGTGCCTTTATTTTTTGGGTGCATGGTAATTCAAAAGCTGTTTTTTTTCTTATCCGGTATTTCAGAAGTTTCTTTGAAAAAAAAAAAAAAAAAGTGAAAATTAAGTTCAGTCTAGTCAATTCAGTGAAATGTAATGTGAAATGTTAACTTCAAATAAGAATGAAAACTGATTTTAAAACCCCTTCTGAAATAGCTTTGCCTTGACACTCAGAATGGAAACTGAATCTTCTTTTTCTAGTTTGACCACTTTGAAGGTCATGTAGCAATGACTTTGACAGAATTATCAGTTAGTTCCAGAATGACTAAGCCACCGTCTAAAATTATAAGGGAGCTCAGCCATCCTTTAAGTGATGAAAGCAAATGTTTTTTGTTGGTGGTTTTATATATATATGTTTTAAGTTGTCATAGGAGATCATGCAAATCTCCTTCTGTATTCTGAGTAAATACAAATTTCTGTTGATCGAAATTCTTCAAGGCCGGAATGTGTGATAATGACTGCTAAATTTTTATTGGTAAAATGAGAATAGTTTTGGTCAAATATATTTCTGAAAACTGCTTTTCACTTAGTCTTATAATAAAATTTTAATTTTTTGTCGCCAATAGAAATGCAGGCTACTATTAGTTCAAGAACGGAGATATAAAATTTCTGTATCTTGATTAGAATATATGTAAATCCAGGGGGAAAAAAAAAAAAGAATAGTATACGTGAAAGGAGTTTGCTGCATTTATTAATGCAATGATGAATCTTTCAGTTATTCTTTTAAAAAAAATTTTTTTTTCTTCCAGCAGCAGTCTCCTGCCTTTACAGGTAGAGGAAAAATTCCTCAGACAGGTAAGCAAGTTGACTTTTGGCTTTAACAAGCCAACAAAAAATGTTGGCAGAAATGTAAGAGGGTTTTGAAGAAAAACCACTAGGTCTTTCCCAAATGTCATCCCTTGTAGTTAGTATTATGATCTTGTGGAAGTATGTGAGTAAAGAGTGAAGGCGTGAAGGTTTGTACCCATTTCCCCCTAAGGTTTGCATTTTAAGAAAGTAGCAGCTTAGTAAGAATGTTTTTCAACAGTCCTGTTGTATCTTTAAGTGCTGAATAATATATGGAAGAATGTACCTATGCATTTGGGTGTGTGGATAGGCACATGGCAGAACTTCTCAGAAGAAGGTGGGTGCCCCATCAAACTGGTTCTTGGCTGTTAGGATCTGTTCTCCTTTTTTCTACTTTGTTTCTTTCTATATAGTAAACATTAAAATCACAGTTGTTATTTAAAAAAAAATCTAGAATACACATAGAGAATTCTAATTTAGTTTTGTTCAATTTTATTATCCACAAATGTGAGACTAAAGAGGTGGGTAGCAGCTTGAGATGGTATCTGTTTTCCATTTCATGGCAATTGTAAGATCCTTAGAAGATGATCGCCTAACTTTACTTGGAATGTTCTTCTGATGCCTTGCACTAAAATTAAGTAGAAAGATATTTGTTATTTTCATATTTTTTTCTCTTCAAAGGTCTGTTATTTGTAAGAGATCAAATTTTGTTGTTGAATTTTGAATAATTTTCCACTAGGATGGTGTGTGAATCGGTACTGTTTGTTTAGGGATGTGTCTTTTTAATTATGGCTATTCATAACATAGGTTTTAAAAACCTTTTAGGAAGAGATGAACCTGGAAAGAGGATTAAAAAGTTGTTTAGGAACAAATAAAAACACTCAACATGCAACAACATCTGGAGGGAAAAAAAGCCTCAAACCTTGAAAGGAAACCTTGAGGAGTTTCCAAAAGCTTATGCCTTTATGGAGATGCTATTCTGGCTGCACTGCACATATGGATGCTTTCCTGTTTTCATTGCATTTGTTAAATGTCAGCTTTAATCTATATACTTGAGACTTATAGTCTCTGGAGGGCTAGCTGGTTGCATAGTGCTTGGTTTCTATCAACTGCAGACAGAACAGACAAGTATGTGAGAAAGGTGCAGAAGTACCTCCTGGGTTGCTTTTTTTAAAAGAGGATGGACATGTGACTGTTTGCGTGAAGATTAGTTTAGTATGTTACATAACAGTTTTATAGGTGAAAGGATGTTACATCACACCAATACTATGAAGAGTGAATGAAATCCCATGAAATACTTTGTTAGCGTTTGAGTGAGAAAAGAGTTTGAAACTCCTGAAGGGAAAGGGAAGGAAAAGGAAGGAAAAGGAAAGGTCATGGTCATTTTGTGGTAATCCAGCACAAGGATTTGTGATGGGGCTAGCTTGGTATTTAGAATGGTGAGCAGAGAGAGCTTCCTCACGTTTGGTACGTGTAGCTAAAGACAAGTGATCATCATAGCATCCTCCCATAGCGCCGAGGAAGTGCTGTAAATACTCAGCACTGCAAAGCACTTCTCTGCCAAATGCTTCCTGAATGAGTAGGAACAACTAATGCTGAATCTGAGACTAAAATAATATTACACTAATAAGTGGCTACTACTGTAATATTAGTAAGATCTAAAAAGCTATAATTTATGATAATTATTTTAATGTTTCATATGTTGAGGCAAAAGTACTACTCTCACTTGTAAAAGTATTGTACGCTTTAAGAAGGCATGTGCTACACTTGCATTATTTTTAAGCTACAAACCATTTTGCTGTAAATTTGCCAGAACGAACCAGGATTTAAAGTACTTGTCATGACAGACTTAATTAACTCTTTAAAATTCAGTGTAAAAATAATTTATACAGTGGCCAGCCCTACATTTTATTGTACTTCCCCATTGGATGAGTTGCACATCATTTGGTTTTATTTCATTTATCTCTATGCATTTTTCCTCCTTAATTTCAATGACCAAAAAGATTGCTGCGTATGAATTTTAGAGTATCTCTGCTCGTTGAAGTCTGTTTTGATCCATTGCCTTGACAACATAGAAGGATATGTTCTAGCAGAAAAGCAGTGGTAGTTCAGAGATTGTTGGTGTAGATTTCAAATAGCAATCTAGCAGTTTTATGGCAGAAAAAAACAGTACAAATGCCTGCTTCTGTTTAGGTTGCGTCTGTCCTTCTGTTGCTAGGGATTTTCATCTTAATTGTTCTGCAGATCCTGCTGATTATCAGACGTCAAAAGTTTTTGAAAGTGATCTTTTTCTCATCAAACTCAGGGCAGAAGTTTTGAGTGCACATTGCGGAGAGACTGAGACAATATGAAGGAAAGGGTTCGTAAAACGTGTTTTAAAACATCCAGGTCAGTCTGCCAGGAGTACTGAATCGAGTCTCTAAGGCCACTGCAGTGGAACAAGCCACATGGCATAATTTGCATGTCAGGTGTTAGACAGGGTTTTAATTTTTCTTTTTGAGCTATTGCCATCTTGCTACCTCACAGTGGAAGCAGCTAAGCACTGAACAGGTTCCCCAGAGGGACTGTGGAATCTGCTTTTGGAGAGGCTCGGAGTTTGAGTGAAAAAGTTCTTGAACAACAGGATCAGGTTTTGAATTTAGTCTGCTTTGAAAAGGAGGTTTGGACTAGAGGCACTTTCCAAGTTAAGTATTTCTATAATTGGTTTACTGTTCCCAAAAGAGTTAAGTAATTGACCTTTGCTTTTCCATTAAAACAAAACAACATATACTTAACTCTGTTGTTGCATAGTAGTATTAGTCACATTATTACCTAAAAATAATTAAATCATTATCTTGTACAAAAAAAATCAAAGCCATCTGGATATGGATTTAAATGTTCTCTGAGAATCTGTGATGTTTATGAAAAGTTGATAGGTTGAAAGAAATCATTTTGAAAGTGATTAGCAAGAGACTTGAAATTGAGAGTTTTTTTTCTTCTTCTTTCTTAGGTAAAGAGTCTTCTAATACAAAAGAAACAAATGTAAGTGAGAGCATTTTAAGTTTGTAAGTAGATTTAATGAAAAATGTCCTCTTTAAATTTAATTGATCTTGCCTTATTTGCTTCCTTTTTATTTCTCTAGGAAGATGAAGCTGGGAAGACAGAGATGGTTGTGCGCAAAAGGGGAAGAAAGCCTAAGCGTTCTCTGGCTCAGTTAGAGGAAACTGGTAAAAACATAAAATTACACTGCTCCTAACAGGATGACATGATTTTACTGTGACTTTCTGTATGCTAATCGCAACAAGATAAGCATTATTCAATTTTCTTTTCTTGAGGAAAAAATCATTGAGTTACAGCTAGTGTAAATATTATGTAAATATGTGTAAATTGCTCTAATCTCATGTCAGAATTGCTACATCCCAGATGCTTCTATAAACCCTCGTGAATTTTCTATGAATTCTGGCTATGAGCTGCATAAGTAAACTATTCTGAATGTGTTAACTAGATTAAGTCAAACAAGTATGAATTTGAAATGCTAAAGCATAAAGGAAATGGAAAATTACTTACTTAAAATGGGATTTATGAGTAGAATACATTTTCTAAATGAAATGTCCATATCCTTTTGGAGGGCTTTTGGAAAATTATAGCATATGTCTAAAATTTTACATGGACAGAAACACAGGAACCAGAAAGAAAACGTCGGAAACTAACATCTGGTGAAGAGGAAGTAAAAGAGCAGGAGGAAGGTGAGGAAGAAGATGGAGAGGAAGATGATGAAACATGTTCTGGAGCCACAACTAGGTCAGCCACAAGATTGGAGACTCAAAGGTAACTGTTCAGAGATACTGCTGATGGGCTTTTTTCCACATTGTTCTCAAGTCTTGTGAGTTTTTTGTTTTGGAGAGGGAGATATTGAAAGGAAGGGAAAATCAGGTAATGAGTAAAAAAAAAATCATTCAAAGGAGTCAAGTAATTAGAAAGAAATCATATCTGTTTGCTATACCTAGGTTGTGGTAGTGTAGAACTGACCCCTCACATGCAACGAACCTTTCTTGGCTGCATCAGGGAGCAGTATAAAGTTTTAGCTTTTGCAGAACGATGGGTCAGAGAAGTTGCAAAGGCTGCTTTCTAGCACCCGGATTGACTGTTCTGGCATGGGATTCCCCAAAGGAGTAACTAACAGGTTTAGGTTTCTAGTATACCTGCCTTCTTAGCCTTGTTTCTTAGTGCTCTGGAAAAGCTTGTCCTCTCCAAGGATCAACTTTATATCATAGTGTGAGCAGTGATTTTTATGGAACGGGCACTATGGCTTTAGTGATTATGGGTCGAGCTTTTCAGCAGTTGTGCCGTGTCTTTCTGTACTGGACTTGCACTGCTCTGCAGCAGGTGAGAAAAGGGCAGTGTGAGAGAAACACTTCAAAATGTACAGATATAATCTGTGTGACAGTTGACAGGTGGGGGGAAGAGTTGTACATTGACAGATACTTCTCGTAGACAGTATAAGTGTATCCTATTTCTTTGGTAAATCTTGAGATTTTCCCCTCTGTGTAGTTTTCAATACAGGTTTAAGGTAGTTTGTATTCCTGGAACATTTAGATGGTAGGAGTGTGGCTGTACTGAGCAGGAACACAGATTTCCTCTTGTACAGGTGATCAGTTAATTGGCAGCAGTGCTTTAAAGGATCTGGGTGGTGTTAGGTAACACAGTCAAGACAATTAAATGTTCTAGGTTACATCTTGCCTTGCATGACTGCTGGTAAACATGAAGTAAATAAATCAAAAAATCAGGATATTCTGTGGCAGAAAGGTTTTGCTTGATTCTACAGCCCTGTGCTAAGAGGGAGGAACTGATCGATGCTGATTGCTCTGATGGTTACCGTCTAGCAAACCAGTTCTTCCTCAACCATCAACCATTCTGTCAGCTTTTGTTTTCTAAATGAATGGTTGATTGGAATATGCTGTGACTTGGTAACAGCTCACAGTGGAGTGTTATGGTTGGGCAGGATTTGTTGGTGGTGATGATTAGCGTTATTATTAATGAGAGCTTTCCAAGTAACTTCGATTCTAATTCCAATGACGCTCCTCTAGGAATGAAGAGGCACGAGGGGAGGTTTCATGCTAAGGGGGAAAATGCTCTTGTTCCTTTTGATCATGAAGAATAGAAAGCCTCATTGGGAACTGGAGTTTAGGTATTATATCAGTATTATAGAAGATTTAGGTATTATATCAGTATTATAGAAGATAACCTCATTTTGATTGTCCCTCCTGGCTTGTCGTATGACAGTATTGACTATGTTTTCCCTTGAGTCGATATGGCTGGGAGATGTTGAAAATGTTAGGGTCTCAAAAGACACACTTGAATATCTTAGAAGGTAAGAACTGATCCTCTTGTCAGTCTTGATTCAGGTGACACCTGAGAGATTTTGCTCCTGGTGGTGGGTAAAAGGTTGAGCTGCTCTGCAGATCTCCCAGTTGATTCTGTGTCAGTCTCCAATTTGTGTTTCAGTTTGGGTCAAGGCAGAGATGTAATTTCCAATGTCCATTTCTTTTCCAAATGTTATGCGATTGAAATACATGAATCTGCAGCACTGAAGAAATTCATCCATATTTTAGTTGTCTGTAAACTCAGAGAAGAAAAAACAAAACAAAAGACTTAATACAAAGGAGTCATTTGGTATGAAGGAAAGTCGGGCTGTTTGGAGGCTGTTATTGCTATCCCTTGGCACAGCTCTGCCATTTTGTAGGCAAACTGAAGTGTAGAAGTCACCAGCCTGACTCTGAGCTGCAGGAACCATCAGGAGAAGGTCGTGGCTTTGTGAAGTCTTGATCTGTATTGCTGTCTCCCAGGGCAGAATGGAAGTCCAGGCTTTGTTTCATGTTCACTGACTAAGTTTCTGTAAATTACAGTCTTCATTCTGGTGAAGACCTTGGATACTCACAGGGTTTCCTTCCTTCCTGAGGCCACATTAGTGTATTTTAGCCTTTTAGAGCTTGTTTAAAGCGCTGCTGACAAGGCAGTACATGGTTGATTTCATTATTTTAGAGATGACTCGGAAAGTGATTATGCAGTCTGTGATACAAATCTATAAAGGCTTATGCTTACATATATAGTTATATATAGGTTTTAAATATGTTTCACATGGGCTTTACAGGTGTATTTGTTTATGACTTTCTGTAGAGAGATTATCTTTACAGACAGTATCTACCCACAGAACAAACTTTGTGCTTAGAAGTAATTCTGTGTGTGCACTAACACTTCCTTCCACCATTATGGCTATGCAAAGATGCCTTTTTTAATTAGAATTTACCTAGAGTTTTGTGTCTCTGATTTCCAGTGTGATTTTTTTCTAGTTCTGACTGCAAAAAAAAGCATCTCTATCTTAAAATGCTGCAAACATTTTGCATCTTATGTAGTGTCCTGGGATGATTCCATGTGGAAGGGGCTGCTGCTTCATCCTCAGCATTGCTGAGTATTTACCTCTTAACTAATTAGGTTTGTTTGGGAGCAGTGAAGGTGATTGCCAGTAACCAGTTTTCCATGTTTCTGAACTGACAGGTACTGCGCTGCTATTGAGTTCTTCCTTTACAATAAAACAAGCAAATTCCCTGCTCTTCAGTAATCTGTTCTCCATTGCTGCTTTGGTTGTTCTTCTGGTACTCCAAGCTGGGCATTTCTGTACCAGAACTATTGCAGATTTGAACTAGGAGTTTTATTTCAATATTGAAATATTGTTAGTGAAGTAGCCTTTCAGTTCTGTCTTTGGTATGAAAATACAGGGCTCTTCTTTGAATATAGTCTTGAACACAGGAACCCTCAACATGCAAGTGCTGTGTTTCTTTTCACCATTTCTTTTGTCAACTTCAGTTTGCTTGTTGCAAATATTGTATAGTCCTAATTTTCTGCACTTGAAATGTGTGAAGAAAGTGAAGAAAGTGGTAGAAGTGTTTTACGATACACGTTCATCATTCTTTGGTGTTACAGAAAGCAGCCCAGCAAGCCAACCACACGTGCAGCCTCGAAAGGCAGCAGTCCAAATTCACCTTCTCCTAGAAAACAACAGAAGTTAGCAGGAAAGAAAAGATCCCCAAGTGATACAAAAACGAATAAATCTCCTCCACTGACACAGTAAGTATGAAAGTTAAAGCCACTTCTCTTGTTTGTTTTGGATGCCACTATGTTGATCCTTTCTTCTTTATTGTATAATATACTACTTCAGAATCTCAACACAGCACAGTTTTGCTCTGTTCCATTCTTTTGTGATATATAAAAAGCTCTTGAAGGATTTTCTCCTGTTCCGTTCTCCATTTCTTTGATATTTGAAATATTATGGGGTTTTTTTTGTTTTTCTGAAAATGTTGTCATGCAGTACTTCAACCTGAACTGTGATTGATTGTTTAATGGCGAGGAGAGCAACTGTAGTTCAGGTTAAAGCAACATATGATGTCTTAATTCTGATATTTCAAAGATATTTCCAAGATCAGCTGATAAGAGAATATTTGAGAGTCCTCTTACCAAATCTTGAAAGTATTTCCCTTTCTTTTCTTCTGTGGCACACTTGATTTTTGAGACTGTGTAAACAGTAATACATGTGATACATAGTTGCTCTCCGTTGTGTTGCTTGCTTGTAAGAGTGAGGTTGTATGACAAAAATTTACACTTAGCCCTCCTTCATTCTGAAATATAGCAATGTTTTCAAGCTTAACTACAGGCAGAGAAACAGACATGTGTGAACTGACTGGCTGTTACTGTTCAGCTAAGGTAAATTATTTGTATTTATGAAAATGGCCAGGAGTTTAAGCCACACTTGGTTGTGGCTGAGCTGTGATGGGCATTTACGTGGATGCCTGATTGGTAACGGAAGTGCTTGGTATCTGCCCTCTTTTCCCTCTTGTATGTGTGAGACTTAAGCCATTATTTCTGTTCTTGTGTCCTTAAGATAATTACTTATATTCTGTCCTAATCCACGTGTCATCTCAGAAGAGTGAGGAGAAGGAGGAGGAAGGGCTCTAGTCCCAACTGCAGTATTTGGAGCGGGCTCCAGCCTACAAGTTTAGTAGACACTAGAATTTGACACGAGTTTGCGTGGTCTCCTGGGGTCTGTGCAGCTGCATGTCGTCTTGAGAGTTAGTTATGAAATAATGTGTCCAAGTGCTTCCTTGGAGATGGACAGCATTGCTCCATCTTCTGAACAGAATCATCTGTCACCCTTTTTATATTTTCCAGGCGCCACATTATTAAAATGATTGATAATTATGTTTTTTAGGTTAAAGATGCAGTCTACTAAGCGTAAAGGGGAAGGCAGCCCGACATTGGTACGCAGAAAAGGCCAGCAGAAAACAGAGGAGGCGCCAGTTAAGAAAGCAAAACGATAATTTCTACAAGCAAGTATGATCCATGGAAAAGCTTAAAGAAAAAACATCTGTGCTTCTATTTTTTTTAAAGCAAAGGGATTTGCACGTGCTTGTTTCAAAGCTCTAAGTTAATAGATGCAGTACCTTTAAGTTACATTTTAAACAGCTTTATAAACTATTGTTTATACAGAATATTATGTACATTTATTTCAGATGAAAAATAAGTTTACTTTGTATCTGAACGAAAAACAAAGTAGTTATATATTTTATCACTGACTTGGAAGTTGAGGTTTCCCGATGTGACTCGCTAACGCAGATGCTTCCAACCCACGAGGTACCCCTGGGCCTACTAATACACTTTGTATATAAACTTGTAAAAATAGGTTGTATTTTACTCTGTGTATGAATCTAATCAATGATGGACATTTTATTTATTTTATGGAAAGCATTGGTCTGTAAACTTTAGTATATACCGTAGGTTTTTTTAATTATATATTTTACATTCTATGCAGATGTCAGTAGGAAACTTCGCCTCTGCTCCTCCAGGGCCATCTAAAACCTGAAGTTCTCTAAAATATGCTCAGACAGTTGGTAAAATACTTTCTCGCATGCATTGAAGTAGGTTAGCATAGTGGAAAGGATTTGGCTCCTTTCTGTTCACATTTGTGACAAAGTATAAAATATAAAATGTAATTCTACTGATTCTGATTATATTTTCATTTGTAAATTTACTACCAGCCTGAAGAAATAAGTAGTATTAGGTTAGATTTGCTTCCAGTCAGCTGACACAGCCTCAAAATGAAACGAATTGTTTTATTTTGCAACTGAACACCTGTCCTTTCAGTATTCACCTTTTTCAACAGAGGGACCCATTGAAGTCAAATGTCACTTCTAACTGTAGAGCTTCAGCATTTTATGTTACATTTTATACACAGGTATTTAAAAAACAAAACAAAAAAAAAAAAAAAAAAAAACAGAACCTGGTATTATTGCCAGAATCTTTTTTTAATGTATATTAACTCTGGTAAGAACAAATGTTCAAGTGAAGTTGTATATAAAGTTAAACTTTTCTTATTATCAAATGTGTCTCTTGTAATGATGTGATGAGTTGCCAAACAATCTGAGATTATTTTAAGTGTTTTGTTCATATTCTGGTTTATAATTAAAGAGGATTCTGGGGGTTTGGAGTTTTTCCCTTTTTTCTTTTTTTTTTTT